CTTTGGCAATTCCTTTCCTCCTCTTCAGAAATAGATTTTAGCAAGTCAACTACTTCAGTCCAGGCGAGTTTTCTTTCCCCGTACATCTGCCCTTTTCGTGCTTTTATCCGCTGATGTTTGGACTCTGCTACGTTGTTGTAAAAAAAGGCTTCCCTTAGGCCAGCACGTTTTCTAACGTGGGAAATCATCTTCTTCTTCATGTCTTCCGCAACGCGTGCGACAAAATACTTGTGGAATTCTGCTTCGCTTGAATCGGAGAATGCTGTACCCCTTGATGTTTTTTCTCATCAATTCCACACTTTTTCCAAACTCTCAAGTTTAGCATCAAAGTCCATGCATCCTTCGGAATCGATGAGCCCTTTTTCATGGTTGGCGTCAGACCCAAATATGTCATGTGGAAAAGCTGTAAGGTACTCTGATGAGATTCCTAACGAGCGAAGCTTCCTTTTACAGTCCTCTACTACGTGACGTTTGCAAGCAAGCCATGTTGCAACAGGAAGATAAGGACTCATTCCCTTCTCAACGGCATCTTCTCGGTCTGACCCTATAAATCGTATGTTTCTGGTGCCGTTTTCAAGTCCTGTAAGTGTAGCTCCAAAGTAGCTGAAGGTGTCGCTGTCCTTTCTCGTGTGTATTAGTGTTGGCCCAAGTAAAAAAGGGGGTTTTCAGTTCTCCTGTCGTCCAGCAGCAGATGCTTATAGGTTGTAGGTGTCACATAGAAGTCGCCAATGTTGAAAGTTGTGTCGATCGAGAGCACTGAAAATTTTTCAGTTGTATTGGCACAAAACCGCTTAACATCCTGAACTTGCCTATCAGACGCCAGGGTTAGGTCGTATAACTGGTCTTGACTTGGAACTTCCCTTCCTTTATATTTTGCGTTCTCCACTTGCTTTCTATTTCTGGGAACATCTGAGACACTGCAAACCTTGAGTTGGCCCCCAGCCTCTTCAAACACTTCGTCATACACTTTGGACGGAGGAGCAGAACCTTTCACCTTTCCCTTGATGCTCTCCAAAACTCCAGGTTTGGTGCGAGTAAAAGCTTTCTCGGACTTAGAATTGCCGTGTGGTTTGGTCGTGATCGCATGTGGTTTTCCGCTGAAACTGTACTGTAAAAGTACGAATCGCTCGGGCGTAAAGCTGTGCCCACTATATCTGAGTATTTCATAAGCTCTTCTGCGGAAACCAGGATGTTGTGCGTGCGTCCAGTACGTTCTCTTGAGAAGAACTGTGGAGCGTTTGCAATCTTCTGATTTTGTTTTGGATATCCAGAGGATTTCCGGATTCTTGTCCTCGTAATACGCAATAACATGAGTTCCATCGTTTTTGTAGACTCCAAGGCCATCTGCTTTCCAGTCGTCTAGGTTTCGAAAATACGGCGACTTTTTATCAATGATGAAAATTTTGTTTTCTTGACACTTTACGGGTGGTTTCGAAGCGACTTTATCTTCAGGAGGATCTAGTAATAGCCGTGTAATGTCGCTGTTTGACAATTCCTTCATCTCTGAGGCATAAACCGGTATGTGTTTATCACCAAGATAAAAAGACGCAGCTTCACTGTGATCCTGGGATTCAGAACCGTTCACAAATGTTTCAGAGTCGTCATTTTCAGACTCAACCCTAAAAATAATTATAAAAAATATTAGCATTTTTCGGTTGAAAAAGAAGCACACAGGGGCGTTTGGTATGGGTGAAAGATCCCCTAGCCAACCAATCCAATACAGTGGGGATCATCTTCGAAACAACACACTTACAGAAAATAACACTTTAAGGCCCCTTTCTATATCCTGACCAGTTACCAAAAACCAGGTCTACAATTCTAACGCCCTGTCAATCGGGGTTTATTTCATTAACTTATTGCAGAACACACCACGATCTTAACGAACGAATAACTTTATATATTGAAAGGTGTAATATTGTCCAACCTCAAAATAGCTGTTTTCTCAAGAACTCATTGGAATGTCGAAAATCCTCACACGCTTTGTTGGCCTAGTATCTGCTGAGTAAATCTTTCCAGTTTGTTTGGATGTCCGCGCTAACGTGGAAGCCGTTAATTCAGTTAAACAAACACCGTCAGTTTTGTGTTTAAAGGTTTGCGCGCACCTACCAACACAAAGACTGTGAGAACTTTTGTTGTTTGGAATTCATAATCTGTACTTTACAAACCTTTCATTGATATATAATATGCATGGGACGATTTTTGGATGAGGAATGTTTTCAAATTGATGCATTTAAGATGACATGTGTGATTTCTTTGTTTAACAAGACTCTTTACCTGGACAGGTCAAGGTTTAACTTTCTTTTACCAAATTCTTGTTCCACCTTGATGGCGGTTTGATACCTGGGAAGCCACATAGAAAATAAGTCAAAAAGCATACTGGCATAAAAGACGTAAAAGCATATGGTAATTGAGGAAACAGTATACGTCTTTACTTTTTTCTAACTAACTTACTATAAACATCTATAGTAGTATATTTATAGGTTATTAAGATAGAGTTGCTGAGTTCACTCTACATACGAGAAGAGGGATTCTGGTGGTTAACGGGCACCATTCCACGATATCTGGTAAAATTAGTCGAAAGTGTAGCCAGAATTATTTGGTTTTTTTTTATACCTAGGCACCACATTATAAAAAGGGTACATACTTGTACACAATATGCCTCTTCTTTCAAGTCATCATCAACACCTGTGTGGAAAATCGAACGCTTTGTGACAAGAAGAATTGAAGAAGCCGATTGTTACATAGACCCATTTCTAATCTTCTGCCATAATCAAGTGAATTAGCATATGTATTAAAGTTTTCCCTCATTTCGATAGCTGAAGGGTATGAAATGTTACTTACTTGAAGGTACTTTGATATCCTCACTTACAGTTGTCTTGTGACTACAAAAGGGACTAAAAAGAAACAAACCTTTAGCTGTGTGTCTACTCACTCTTTACATTCATTTCTTAACCGATATAAACATTCTGAACTTGTGGGAGATTTGGATGCTTTTTTTTTCAAATCAACTTGTGTGGTTAGTTAAGTAGATGTTAGCTTTTAGTTTTTCAGTGCTATTACCTGGACTTCGTCATCTCAGCAACAGACTGCTGAGCACAGCTCTTAAGTCCACTCTGACTGAGTCGTTTCCATAACCACGCACACAGATCTTCAGCAGTTAACTGCCTATCATCTCGAAGGAAAACTTTTACCAAACCATTACCGTTACCGTCGAGCTCATGGAATATGGCATGTGTGTCCATAATAAATAGGTATCCAAATGCCCATCCTATTGTAAAGATGTACCCACCGCAAGAATAGAAGGCAAGCCTCATCTCTCTTTTTGCTGTAAGTTGGTACACAACTGCTCTTAGCTCATCTCTGGCACATGCTGAGTAAACTCCATGGCTTGAAAGGATTTCCTCACTGAATTCGTACTCCTCTTTTATCACTTTAAATTTCTGCAGAATTCCATAAGCCTCCGACACGTCGTAATGCCGACTTTTATCTCGAAAGGGATTGAATTGAAGAGGGGAATCGATTATGACTTCCTCAGCAAGGCAGGCAATTTCTTCAAATGTGGTGACAGTTGACCTCTCATTTTGGCACAGCAAGTGATCGCCAAAAACCACGGACAGAAATGCACAGCCATTGGTCCCATCACCAGGAACGTACGAGCTAGTTGCATTCTCAATGCAGGTTCCTTGGTTGACTGTGAGTGGTAAGTTTCTGCTGTTTGACAGGTCTTCATTTGTCAAGACATCTACTATGTATTTTGCATCTGGCCTGTCTTTCGGATGGAAACGCGTACAATATTCGGATAACTTGCGAAGTCGGAGGCAATTTACTGCATGTTGCATGCAATAGTGATCCGAGTGAGCTGGCGTCTCATTTTTAGAAATGAGCCCTTCTAACACAGAAAGACAATTTGAACCTTTTCCAACTCCATCTGATAAGGGTACTTCAAGTCCGGATTGATAATGACGAACAATACCATCCCTAGGGCTGTTACGATATGTAAAATTTGATTGACAGCTTACCTTATTTGGTTATTGGCTTAATTAAAAAAAATATGCAGTGATTTCACTGCTAGTAGTTGCGTGCCTCCAACACGGCGTGTTGAGTTTCTTGTAGTATAGAACAACACGAAACATGGTGTCAGGAGTAAAGTTATACCGTGCTCGTAAGTTAAATTCAAGTTAAATTACTTCGAAAAGCAAGCGAAGATGTCGGATATTGAATCAGAAATTCCTCCCACACCGAGTGCGAGTACCGCTGCCGTTGTGAGTCAAGCACGTGGTCCCCGATTCGTGCCGTCGAATTTTCCAGTGCCTCAAGTAATGGTCTGCAAGGGGGATAAAGCGTCTAATTGGGAGTTCTTCCGACAACAGTACGAAGATTACGAAATTGCCACGGAACTCTGTCAGCAGCAAATGTCAGTTCGCCTGGCTTCCCTTCGTTCGATTATGGGAAAAGAATGTTTACAAATTTTAAGAAATTTGAGCTTGACCGCCGAACAACAAGCAACCGTGAAAGGATGTTTGGATGGTTTGGAAGCGCACTTTAAGCCTCAGCGAAATGTTGTGTATGAAAGATACGTGTTCAACAGCTGTGTACAAAGTGTAGAAGAAAGTGTGGACGTCTATGTCAATCGACTTCGAAAACTCGCTTCATCTTGTGAATTTGGCGCTTTAACTGACGAATTAATTCGCGATCGGCTTGTCATTGGAGTGAAAGATAGGGATTTGAAAGGCAGACTACTCAGGCAGAAAGGTTTGTCGTTGCAAAAAGCCATAGAAATGTGTAAATCAAACGAAATTACGAAGCCGCAATTGAAGAGCCTGGAAAACGAAGAAAAGAAACCTCATGAAGAAGTCAACATGTGTAAACAAAGTGGCCGCCGCTCGTCAAGAACAACAGAGAAACCGCCCGCATAAGACTTGAAAAAGAAAACACCCGACTTCAAAACCAAACCCGAGAAAGGAAACTCGAAGCGAAAATGCAAGTATTGTGGTAAACAGATGCACAACAAGAGGCAAGATTGTCCTGCTTTCGGCTCAACGTGCCACAAGTGCAAGAAAAGCAACCATTTCGCGTCGGTCTGTAATTCAACGCGACGAGATCAAGTTAATACTGTCGGAGATGAAAACGACTCGGATTCTGATCTCTCAGTTCTCACAGTTGATGTAGTCTCCGCAATCCCCGGTAAAGGTAAACAAGTCCTTGCCAAGTTAACATTCTGCATTCAAGACAAATACAAGACGTCTATGGAGTGCCAACTAGACACCGGTGCCTCGTGCAACGTGATCAGTCATCGAGATCTGTCTATTCTGTTGCAGAACGGATCACCTCCACTTAACCACAGTTCATTCAAGCTTAGATTGTTTGATGGATCAATCATGCGCACCCTGGGAGAAACACACCTAACTGCAGAACATGAAGGAAAATGCCACACCCTAAAGTTTCAAGTGGTCGACTGCACAAACAAACCTTTGCTATCTGCTGAAGCCTGTGAGCGAATGGGTCTCCTGAAGTTCAACTTCACCCCTCCGGAACGTGTGAACATGATGGAAAATATGGCAGACCTCCCTCTTACAAAGGAAAAGATCTTAAGCAGTTACAAAGATGTTTTTGATGGCATAAGACACATCGGTAACTCCTCGTTGGTGACAGACGACAACATAAAACCAATCCAACACACACCCAGACGTGTACCAGTCGCGCTTCACGACGAGGTAAAAGACAAGCTGTCAGACCTGGAGAAGAGAGGCATCATTCAGAAGGTAACTCAACCTACGGAATGGATTAGTAGCATGGTGGTTGTAGCAAAACTGGGCAAAATAAGGATATGCTTGGATCCTAGAGACTTGAACAAAGCCTTGAAACGCCCCAAGTACCAGATGCCGACACTGGAGGAACTTCTTCCCAAACTAGGAAAAGCAAAGGTATTATCCACGCTTGATGCGAAAGATGGATTTTATCAGATCGCCCTGGACAAACAAAGTAGCATGAAAACAGCATTTCGGACCCCGTATGGACGATACTGTTACAAACGAATGCCTTTTGGGATCAGCGTAGCACCCGAAGAGTTCGAGTGAAAGCTTCAAGAAAAGTTAGCTGACCTTCCTGGAGTGGTCGTGGTACGTGATGATATCTTAGTCGTGGGATACAGAGACAGTCAAGAGGAAGCAGTGAAAGACCATGATGACAACTTGGTAAAACTTCTTCAGCGAGCGAGACAAGCAAATCTGAAGCTAAACAAGTCCAAGATGAATCTGAGAAAGCCTGAAGTATCATTTATGGGCGATATCATCACAAGCAAAGGTCTAAAACCAGATCCAAAGAAGGTGAAAGCGGTGGAAGAAATGCCCAGACCTACAAGTGAGAAGGAATTGTCAAGTCTTCTTGGTTTTGTGAACTACTTATCCAAGTTTCTACCCCGACTTGCCGAAGTAGCCAAGCCACCACGAGAACTCACATCCAAAGAAGCAAGATTTCTCTGGTCACCGCAACACGAAACTGCCTTCTCTGACATCAAGCAGCTTGTGGTCAACCATCCTGTACTAAAATTTTATGACCCTCTAGCTGAGGTGACCTTGCAATGTGACGCCAGCGAATACGGATTAGGTGCCACTCTCCTTCAAGATGGCCAACCTGTAGCATTTGCATCTCGCACTTTGTCACCCAATGGAAGGAATTATGCTCAAATAGAGAAAGAGTGTCTAGCGATCGTTTTTGGATGCCAACGCTTTGACCAGTACCTTGCAAGAAAGGACAAAATCACTGTTGAATCAGATCACAAACCGTTACAAGCCATTTTCCTGAAGCCTATTCATGCAGCACCGCGCAGACTCCAAAGGATGCTCTTACGTCTATTGCGATACAACCTTGCGGTACAGTACAAGAAAGGAAGTCAAACGTACTTGGCTGATCATCTCTCAAGAGCTCCAGTAGTTGAGAGAAAAGAAGCAGATGAGCTAGATGAATTCCAAGTGTTTGCTTTGGAAGTAGAGAACCTCAACCCCTTCGATGCGATCAAGTTGTCCCCTGGGAGACTTGAACAGTTGCAAACATGCACAGCCCAAGACCCAGTTCTACTGACACTGAAGACAACGGTCATTACTGGATGGCCAGAAGTAAAAGAGCAAGTGCCCATCCCTATCAGAGATGACTGGCTTTATCGTGACGAAATCTCAGTACACAATGGAGTGCTGTTCAAGAACCACAGAGTTATCATACCAAAGCTTCTGAGAGAAGAAATCATGTCAAGGATCCACTCAAGTCATTTGGGTATAGAGTCCTGTCTGAGGAAAGCAAGAGATGTGGTATTTTGGCCGGGGATGAACAGTCAGATCAAAGAAATCGTGTCCAACTGCCATGTCTGTGCAGAATTCCAAGCACGTAATCCGAGACAACCCTGACAGACACATGGGATTCCTGAAAGACCATGGAGCAGAGTCGCAGCCGACCTCTTCATTCTTCATGGCAAGAGTTACATTGCTCTAGTGGATTACTTCTCTG